GAATGAAGAAAGCATGATAAAACCATGGGCAACCAATATCTAAAAACTAGATAGCTTAACAAGTGTGTGGGTGAGGGAATGGGAGGAGATGTTAAGAACAACTGAAGAACAGTGTATGGAAGTAATTCAATTACACTTTCTTTCCTTTAGAGAAAACATTTTCAAACTGCATGGGACACATGAAATAGCACTCAGTTCTGCTCAAAATATTCTGAAAGTTTTGAGTTTAGTTTCAACTTTTTCCATTAATCACTTTTGCATCTGCAGGGAAAAGGGGCCCTCTTTATTTATTGGGTCAACTTGTGACCTTTAGGAGAACTGAAGACTAAATGCATCCAATCATTTAGGTTAAGGGAAAGTGCATCTCAAATTCCCCTGTTCAGGCTGGTGTTACCAGGTGGTTTGGTTAGATTGCAGCTATGGGAGAATTCAAAGGAAACCCAGGTGTTTGGTGATCAAACTGTCAATCCTTTTTATATGAAACTAGAGGCCCAGTGCATGAATTCATGCACTTGTGGGGTCCCTTGGTCTGGCCTGCAGTATTGGGCTGAAACCAGCTCTCCAACATCCCCAGAGGGGTCCTGGATTGCAAGAGGGCACAGGCCAGGCTGAGGGACCTCACTGGTGCACAATAGGGGCTGGGGAGGGATGCTGGAGGTTGGCCAGCTGGGGAGAGACTGTGGGAGGGCTCCAGGGTATGTCTGGCCCATCTCGCTCAGTCCTGATTGGCTGGACCCCAGCAGCAAGCTAACCTACTGGTCGGAGCGTCTGCTCCCTGGTAGTCAGTGCACGTCATAGTGAGTGGTTGAGTGGCCTTAGCATATCATTAGCGTACTATGCTTTGATTGGTTGAATGAATGATCAGATACTTAGCATATTAGGCTTTTATTATATAGGATAATTCCAATGGTCTGGTTCCTATCTTTCTGAATATCCTTGAAAAGACTCTTTCCTTACAGCCCCCCATGCTGCTCCTCTAATTGAATGAGCTTTCTGCTGAGGAGACATGTATGACTCTCAGGATTGAAAAAATTCAGCCGGGGCACAGAGCTGAGACCTCACTTAAATGGACAACAACATTTAGTCACTTATTTGCTCAAAGATACACTTCATCTGGTTCTCAGAATGCTCATCAGGACTAAAGAGAGTTTTAGGAGGAGTTGGAGTACAACAAAGACCCTTAAAAGCATCTGGAAAAGCAATGGCATGCAATAGGTCCTAACTGGATGTTAAAGAAGAACTAATAAACGAGGAGGAGGGAGCAGAAGTGGAGAAGAGGGTTCCTAAATTGTCACTTAGGACTGGTTGATGGGAAGGGGGCTTTTCAGAATCCCCCAACCAGAAGTGAATAAGGAGAATTCAGCCTCCAGATACACTTTAGAGACAAAGACATTTACTCTGCTGCCCTGAAAGATGAATTCTGTCTCCCCCTGCAGGAACATATCTGCATCAATATGTATTTGCTTTGAGGAGGAGAAAAGCAGCTTATTGAAGGTGAAAGTAATAAACAAGAAAAAAAGATTACAAATATTTTCCAGAAATTTGCCCTTTTTTGTTGTTGTTTTTTGTGTTTTTAAGTCTCTAGCAAGGGATTCACAAAAATAATTGTGCAGTACCTTTGTTCTACATTCTACAGCACGTTATGCATACCCTACTATAACAAGTTATGCTTGTTACAACAAAATGCGTTAGACTTCAGGCAAGCACAAGGTGTAATTTATATTTCACACCCAAAATCTAGCCCAGCCCCTGGGGTATTGAGTATTGAATAAATACCTCATGAGTGAATCAAGAAAGAAAGAGAACAATCTAGTTCTTTTGTTCTGGTTCTGCTTTATGGCAGCCAAAAGGGTGAAGTTGGCTTATTACCATGCCTGTTAATATTAAAGAGAATAACACCTATTTTAAAAAGCAGCCCCAGGATCCTTAAGATAAATCTCTCATATGCAGTTGAGAGTGAATAGAAGAGGCTAAGCTATTCATAAAAATATATCTAGAGAAGTGACAAGTCTCTAATTCTCCAGATGAATTCTCATAGAAACGCTGGCAATCTAACTTACTGATACAATGAATGATGCAGTGGGTGTTAAATATGCTATATGGTAAACAGATGCACTATTGCTTGCATAAATATATTTGTTTGGTGGAAGGATATCAATGAAATAGCCCCCTTAGAATGTAAAATTACACAGGTATTTTTGGTTTCACTGTACGGTGACCACATTTGATTAATTTTTTTTGTGTGTGTGTGTAAACAGCAGTTAACAAAGACTGAAGGTTAAAGTGGAGACTTATGGTAGTCCAGTTGGCCAAGGAAGGCATTCAGAAAATGTGATTACTGAAGCAGGAAGGGTGGTAAAGGAGGAATTAGAAAGATTTCAATATCCTTTTCAGAGTATAATTGTTCAAAGTTTGAAAAACTCACACAATTAAGAAACTGCACAAAACTACATGGATTGTGGTACCACTGAGAAAAGACAGGCAGAGTTGGCACTATTTCTAACTGAAAATTGAGTTTTCTTTGGAGGAGGCAGCTCACTTGCTGTCATATGCATCTAGTACAGTGATGGCAAACCTTTAGAGCTCGGCGAGTCAGCATTTTGAAAAACCCTAACTTAACTCTGGTGCCGTGTCACATATAGAAATTTTTGGATATTTGCAACCATAGTAAAACAAAGATTTATATTTTTGATATTTATTTTATATATTTAAATGCCATTTAAAGAAGAAAAATCAACCAAAAAAATGAGTTCGCTTGTCACCTCTGACACGCGTGTCATAGGTTCGCCATCACTGATCTAGTAAAAGAAGGTTTGCCGAGTTTATGGAATAATCCCTCCCTGTAAAGGTATTTCTACTGCAGCCCTGAGACTCTCTTCTAAGAGTGGCATGCAGAGTGCGCTGTCTTGTCATGTCTTTTGTCTTCAGGCCTAGGATACGTAGTGTGTGGTATGTAGAGTCTGCATATGCAGGGAGCTATACTGGCAGGTTCTCAGTGGCAAGGACGGGGCATTGCAAATTCTTCACCTGCAGAACTGCCTATGATCATATATATGTAGATGAGAAAAGCAAATACTCTACATTGGCCTGACTAGTTCTCCACTTCTTCCGTCAGCACTGCATCAGCAAAATATCAGCCTTGTTTTTTCCAGCTTTATTACTCACACCTTCCATTTCATTATCAGAGAGACTTCAGGCTAAACCCACTACATTTCATGGAGACTTTTATCTCCTGGGACAAAGGACTGAATAGCCTAGCAAATGGCTGATTTATACAGACTTTTTATAGAAATAGAAAACTCAAAAGTAAAAGTGGAAATAGGAAAGGACAGGGCAGGAGAAAACAGTATTTAAAGACCTTTTCTCCTATTAATAGATCATTCATCTTATTAAAGTAGAAGAAAAAAAAAGGTGCCTTTGTTAGAATCACATTAAAACAAATTTACTAGCAAAAGATATAATGGAAGTGATGAAATGATTAAGTAACAGTTCGGAGACAATTTCAAGGAGAGCTTGTGTAATTAGAACATCTTAAAGTTGAGAAATAGATTACAAACGAAACCCTTACACCACGTTCTCTGAGAGCAGAGTCTGAAAAGTCCGAAAATCAGAAGCCAGTGTGTGCCTCGCTGGGAGCCTCCTCACGCAGGGCTGCCTTAACACTGGGGACAAGACGGACAGCCCACTGTCAAGGCCGGGAACAGTGATGCGGTGATTGTTCCCCCATCAAATCTGCCTTGTAAAGAGAAGCAGCAAGAACGCTCCACTTCTGCGCATCATTATATGGGCTTGCCCACATCCTGGAGCATTTATATTCCTTCCCCTTATGTTTTTCTCCAAGTTGGCCCAGAGGCAAAGGGTGAGGGATATTGCTGCAGCAAAATGACCAGCATTCCTACCTCCACCTGGTGAGTGAGCTCAGATGCCTTCTCAAAGGAATGATTGTGTTTCTCCAATGCTTTGTCATCAAAGGGGAAAAGGCTAGGAAATCTGTCTCCACCTTGTCTAGCACATTATGCCTATAAGAAGACGTGTGTATGTATGTGTGTGAGTGTGCACGTGTGCAGATTTGAAAATGTGATGGGCTCCAGAGCCCAGAGGCTCCTCTGAAGGTTAGCAGGGAGGATTGGCTGTAGCTAACCATGCCTCAGACGCCAGTGCATCCTGAACCTCCTAGGAGCTGGCTCAATGGACAGGGGGGTCATCACACTTGCTCTGAAATATGCAACCTGCATCTACTTTCTTCACAAGATGTCCAGTGAGCAGATGGAGGGGAAGAATTGTGTTTGGTTGGAATTTTTCTTCTTTTGTGTTTTTTTTAAAGCTAAATTAAGATGGCTTAAGCTCGTTCTTGGAACCAATTTAAACTGTTATTTGAATTATATATATTTTTTTATATATATATCCCAGAACTAACCTAGCTAACATTTCTTATGAAGTTGGCTGAGGCATTTTTGAAGTTATAGAACATCTTCCTAGCAGCACTCTTCCTCCTCCTAGTGTTAAGCCCATATTCCCATGTTTCCTCTAATGTTAGGCTGGAGTATGCTGTTCAGTGTGTCAGCCCTGGAGAGAGTGGTAAGGCAGGAGCACAAGAACAGCTCACTGCAATCAGGACCCCTAGGTTTAAAAATACTCAGGGGATAAGAGTCAGAGTGAAAAGAGGTTATGAGTTAGGTTAATGGGATTCCTATGATACAGATATTAACACAAAACAATCCTCTCTTGTTCCTTTTAAAATGGCACTGAAGGAAGCCAGGCCTCTAGCATCTTCTTTCCTACCCTCAGTTCCCTGGTTGGAACAGACTTGATATAGGGAGGACGACAAAGATGGCTGATAATAGCTAAGTCAACCTCAGGTTCAAAGTAAGCCTGCTGGACGGATGGCAGCGAACCGAAGGTGCATCTGAGAAACGAATGCAGAACTGAATATGCACACGTGCACACGTGTCTCTTCCTTGTCTAGAGGTCAAGTCAGTCTCGAGTGATCATTACCATCACAGTAGGTTTGTCAAAGAGGAAGACAGTGGCCATAGCTGCCTGGTCTTCTGGGCTGGGTCAGGGGTAAATGCCATGGTTGATGCAGGTATGATCTGAAAATAAATGGGGAACAAATAAGAAAAAGAAAAGAACCAGAATTAAGAGACAGAGAAAGAGGAGGAGAAAAAATTGACAACAAAAGAGTATTAGTTGACCCTGTAGATTTTCAAATGAAGTATTCCCGCTTGCACTCGCTCACTGTATTTTGCAAGTCAATGTCATTTCTGAAGGAACTGTCCAAGTTTGCTGGGTATTCCTTCTCCTTTATCTGGTTCGTGCGATGTGTCTGCTTATGCCGGTAAAGGAACCGCACCATGATGCCCACAATGGAGAAGATGATGAATATCACCACCGCGATTACTCCTGTGGAGAAAGGGGGCAATGAGAGAAAAACATTGTCACAGCTCATCCACTCCAGAGAGATGATTCAGTCAGACAAGGAAGCCGCTTAGGAGGAAACAAAAGAAAATAAAACAAAACAACAATAAAACTCTGCCACAGGCCCAGAAATAAAGAGCAGCTAAAACACCTACAGTCTTCAATTACAAAAAGCATCCTCCTCCAGAATAGGGAGAAAGCCAGTTTACATCAGCACTTGTATTTAATGGACTAAGATTGCTATGAAATAAATAGACTAGCAAAATATTTTATTAAATTTCTTCAAGACCCTCTTTAAAGAATGTGACAGAATCAGATGCAATTAACAAATTTTTGTCACCTTGCAAATAAGCATCTTATAACTGCTTTTGCATCCTAGGAAATAATAGTTAACTATCTCACATCACAATAATGCTCTCCTGACGTAAACATGGTGATGGTATAGGTTTGCTTTGCTAAAATGTTTTATTAATAACAAAATGCTTCCCAAACATTTAGGGCATTTCTACCCTGCTCTGCATGCTTCCAGGACAGGTTAGCTAGAGACGGCATGCCTCTGTCCTTCGGAAACGCAAAGCCAGCTGAAATGCAAGTTTCTGCCCAATTGTGTCAGATTCCCCGCTTTGCTTGTTTGTGATTTTACTGGGCCTACTTGGCAAATCGCCCTTGCTGACCTCTAAGGGCTTATTTCTCTCTTTGCCAAGCCTCTTGGGATATGAAGAGCAAACTCAGCAAAGAGATATTAGAAATGTGGACGCTGCCACTTCTAAAAGCAGGATGTGTCTACACGGGAATGGAGGCTTCTCAACATTAACATTTGAAAACTATTCTTTAAGTTATTACAAATATTGTTGAAATATTAGTATGTAACCTGTTTTCCTTTAAGTAGTATAGATATTGGTAAAATATATTTATTTAACAAAGTTATTTTTGAACACCCTGCATTGTGATTTATGTAAACAGGAACTTTAGAGAGTTAAAAACATTAAATGCATATCCCCTATGGATTTTTGTCAGAGCGGAGGCCCTGATTAAGACAGCTTACCTTTGAAAATAAAGCATTATGTAACATGTCTGCCACGCTTTTAGAACCAGACAGAGTGAAACCTCCTAAGTTAACAAACCTACGAATGAGCTGGGCGGTGGGTGACTCCCAGGAACAGCTGAGCCTTAGGAGATGAAATACAAACTGGCTGCTTCTCCCCGCACATGCGGTACTCAGAGTGGGAGGCTGCGCCAGCTTCCGAGAGTCCCCTGGGGTTGGGATGACTTTCTTGCTCTTACAGATACTTACAAAAAGATGTACACAGGTGGGAAAAAGTGAGCGGTCACATAAGTCTTTTCTCCACTTGTCAAATGAGAAATTAATTTCAGGAAGCGAAACAGGCACCAAATTATTTTCTACATTCCTTGATGCCAAACTACAATCAAGTTGGACTCTCTTCCCTGATGCAGAAATTCATGTCAGACATTTTAGGACCTTCCTTAAGGAGGCAGGTTTTCTTTCCTCACAATCCCACTGTGATGCTGCGCCTTTGAGCTCCCACCGCTGTCTGCACTTCCCCTCAAAGCACTGCTCCTGGCCTCCATGTTGTCTGTTTATTCAGCCTGTCCCCCTCCAGACCAAGAGCTCTGTGAGAGCAGTGCTCATATCGTTCACCCTCTATTTCTACACTGAGCACAAGCCCTGACCCAAAGTTGGGGCTCATCAAATAGAAGTTAAATCAGTGGCTACTGCCATCTTTTAAAAGAACCCCACCTAACTGCCAGAGGCAGTGGTCCTCAGATGGAAATGAATTTAGTATCTCACAGGCATCTGCCATTAAACAGGTTTGGGAAGCAATCCGTGTTGCAAGACCCAGATGGGAAAATCAAGACTATTGGAGGCTGCAGAAAACTGAGGCGAATGAAAGGGGTTGGGAGGCCAGCAGGCAGTGTGACAATGGGAAGTCAAGGGAGTGGGGGGCTGAGCTCACCTCAGAGCAACCAAGATCTGCATCTGTACCATGTGCTGCTGGATCGAAACTACAGTCTGAGGGCTGCACATTCAGCTCATTAGATCCAACCCCAATCACTTATGGAGCAAGCCAGCAGGATGCAGCTTCCCCCATCTGCCTACTCCAGTATGGCCCTTTCCCTTATGTAATTTTACTGGTTTGCTTTGCTTGTGCTTCAGGAAAATAGACACTGGGATGAGATGAGTACAATGCACACTGCCTGTCTCTAAGTAAAGTATCCAGCTGTTGAGTCAGTAGTCAGCTGCCTGAGGATCAGGGTGGGGTGCATCCATGGTGCATCCATGGAGCTGCTGGCGCCATACAGCACACAGAACTGTTTGTGAAAAGGCTCATGGATTTGCAGGAACCATGGGGTTCTGGGTCCTGGATGGCATTAAGGAAGGATTCAGATACACTTCTCCAAAGTGCAGAACTACTTGAGCCTTTTCTGCTTTCATCAACAAAGAATGGTTTACCTCCAATGACAGCCGAGTCACTTTGAATTGCATTGGTGAGTGGTTCTCGCTCATCTCTCTTCCCAAATGGATCTGAAAGAAGTAAGAAACATGAGCCTTCACTCCTCACTGAAAGTCCTGGGAAGAGGACTATTGCACGGAGTTGGGATGACACACCTGAGGATGAGACCAATTGCTCTCAAATGATGGTGAGTTGGGATTTTGGGAAAAAAAATCAAACAGACATTCATAAAAAAGCATTTGAAACACATACTTAATACCCATAGTTGCATGACCTGGTAAGCTTCTATGTAATTTGTAAGATCAGTGGTTAAAACAGATGATGGCAGTACCCTGCCCACGTGTGCTGTGGCCTACTGCTTCCCTCTTGGCCTACCCTCTGTGCTTGGTTAGGCAGTCCCTACGCATGACAATGGCTTCTCACATCAAGCACACATGCCCCTCTGCTTCTGCTGCAAGAGGACACTGAGCCCATTGACAGGGAGGGACAAAAGTGCTGAAGAATTAATATCTCAAACCCTCACCAAGGAGACGGGATTTTACTTTATGGACATTAACATACATGGGATAAGGAAAAGCACACTGCATTAAAAGCACATATATGTGGGTTTGAGTTACTGCTCTGCCATTTGGTCCAGTGACATTGAGCTAGATACAAGTTTACATAATCTGCAAATGCATTAATAGGTGACACTTATTAATAACACCCATATCTATGCATAGAGTACATGTGAGATTTCCAGGACCTATAGCATCTGTCACTATGATCATTTAATCCTTAGAAAAAGACGACAGCATGGGCACTCTTTATTTTTCCTGTTTCACAGATAAGGACATTACATTGATGCCAATAATTAACTTGTCCAGAGCCCTAGAGCTCATTCGTAGGAGATTTGGAACTAAGTCAGGGCTGGCCAACTGTCACATGCGGGTTCTTTCTATTGCACCTCGTTGCTGCAGGAAAATGCAGAGATCAGAGTGAGCAGGCAGCAAAACTCAGTCCTTTCTGTGCTGATATTTAATAACTTATTCAGCAGCTGATTACCACACTACATTAAAACAAATACCAGGAACACTTCAAGACATCCAGGATGATCATGAATATGACAAGATAAAATAGGTACTTTACGGAGTGTAAAACAGATGTATGTGTGGATGAAAGTGCTGTGGGGCTTTCCTATATTAAAAAAAAAGTAGGTTTTAATCACATGACTTATATTAGTCAACAGCCAGCTTGCCTTTCTGAGCCCTAAACTCTTTAATCCTTAGAGGAGCAGCCATTTTAAACAGTAGTAACTAACATATGTCTATTTATAATATATATAAATATGCTTTTAGTTCTAAGTATGTATTGTATTAAAAGTAGGACTACATTAATATAAATGAAAGTTACCCATGGGAAATCAATCATACTTTTTAACCACCCATATTCATACAAAATAAGGAATTGAGTAATATTGATCTTTAACCTGGAAGCTTTTGAAGACATCAAAAATAGTGTTACTGGTGTAAGTTCCACTGGGTATTCTCTTGTGTACCTGAGGAAGAATGCACTGTAGTCACTGCATTCACATCCAAATCCGTCCCAGAGCCACAGCTGGCTTCTGTCAGGGCTCCTTGAATGATCACAGGTGCGATGGTCGCGTGGCGCAGAGCTGCCTTCAGCGGTACTATGTGGTTGTACTGGACTGAAGACAGGCACCCAACAAAACCCAGGCTGTTTGCTTTCGCGACTTCAGAATCTAATCCGACATTCTCTGCAACATTAAAGAGAAGGGCCTTTCTTTTTCAAACTATGCTCCATATCTCCTTTAAAAAAAATCGTTATTGTTTACATTTTATCTTTAATATTATTTTGTTTTAGTTTCAGGTGCACAGCATAGTGGTTAAACAATCATATACTTTACAAAGTGATCTCCCTAGTATTTGCAGTACCCACCTGGAACAATCCATATATATAAAAGGCTAATATGCAAAGTGTCCCCTCAGGAGTTTGACTGGGAGACTGGGAGTTCAATTGCTTGTTATGATGTGTGCTGACCACCAGGGGGCAGCGTGGAACTAAGGGAGGCCCCAGTCAGCAGGTGGAAGCCAGAGGGCCACAATTGGCCCTGATTGCCAGCCTGGCCTAGAGACCCTACCTGTGCACAAATTTCCTGCACTGGGCCTCTAGTATATATTTATAATATTCCCTATGCTATACTTTACATCCCTAAATATTTTGTGACTGCCAATTTGTACTTAAACTCTACCTTTTTTTACCCAATCCCCCAGTCCTCCTTCCTCTGGCAGCCATCTTATCTTCTTTTACATAATGCCTGAAATCACAGATATTACCTTCTTTTTGAATTAGAGAATTCACCCCCTATCTCTTTCTATGTCCTCTCCCCAAACTCTCCTTCCACTAAAGCATCAATGTATCAACCACAGAGTGTTAAAAAAAAAACCCTGCTAGGGCCATCTCTGCTTTGAGACAATGTTTCAAACTTTCAAATTTTATTCACATATTTTATGAGCTGTAACAAAGACAATAAATCTCTTCTACACTCTATATGTTTTATAGAATGTATATCATTATGTCCATCACCATTTATCAATGAATGCTGGTAATTAGTTCAAACATACTACAATGCTCATTACAACATTTAACTCAAACATATAGAAGGAAATAAGTGAAAAGAGGCAGACCGAGATTATAAGTCAAAGTGGTCCTCCCAGAAGTTTATCACATTCAAATGTGCTAAGTGACCTGTGTAGACGGACCTTCTCAGTTCTGTCCATGGTATTCATTGGTGAGCCTGGATTTTCTAAAACAGCATTCAATCTCCCAAAGTATCTTTGAGTATTTATAAAAGAAGAAGAGGCAAACATTTGCGACTCACAGAAAGACCAATGTCTCATTTTCTTCAAGGGTTGTAGTAAGATTACTCAGTGGCCCATTCTTTTTAACAGGAATCATTTGAACAAATTGCTATGATGGGATCATATAAAACTATAATACACAATGAGCCTTTTTTGTCTTGAGGTGTAATAGTTTTGACACTCCTAGATGTTTCAAATAGTTATTTTATTATGATGATTTATTTTTTAAAATATATTTTTATTGATTTCAGAGAGGAAAGTAGAGGGAGAGAGAGAGACAGAAACATCAATGATGAGAGAAAATAGTATGACAATTTATTTTTTGGAAGAGAGCAGAGACTTTCCTCTCTACCATTATAGATTATAACATTTCAATTCATAAACAGTCAATGAGTGCTTCCTTGGATTTCTAAGCAAGCATTTTGTTGGCAGCATTTAGAAAAAGATGCAATAAGAATATGGAAGAAAATGATAAATCGACATCCCTTAATTCTTTTTCTAGTTTTGCTCTCTTTATACTCTCCCTTTTTGAGCACAGCATATTGGTGAAACAATCATATACTTCACAAAATGATCTCCCCAGTATTTGCAGTACCCACATGTAAATATCACTAACTTGTCATTCTTCTCACAGGAAAAAGGAAACAAGACATGTGAATTAATGTTACATGGCCATGTAACAAATTACCACAAACTTAAACTAAACAGCATAAAGCAACACACACTTACGATCTTATATTCTGTAGAAGTCTTGACATGGGTCTTACTGTACTAAAACCAAGGTGCTACAAGGTTACATTTCTTCTAGAGTTTCCAGGAGAGAATGCATTTCTTTGCCTTTTCTGGATCCTAAAAGTCACCATGTTCCTCGGCTTATAGCTGTCTTTTTCTACCTTCAGAGCCAGCAAAGTTCTATTTGTTGTGCCTTCCTTCCAATACATCTACAAATAATTCTATTTCCCCCCCTCTTCTATTTTTAAGGACCATTGCAATTCCACTGGGATCACCCAGATAATCTTGGGTGATTACCTCATTTTAAGGCCAGCTGGTTAGCAACAGTAAGTTTGTTTGCAAACTTAACTCCTCTTACCCTTGGCCTAACACATTCACAGGTTCTGAGAGTTAGGACTTGGATGTCTTTGTGGATCATTACTCTTCCCACCACTCCAGGTCTGGGATTCTGTGAGAACTCTCCAGGTATCCTGCAGTGTTGGTGCATAGTCATTACTTACTACTGGAATAATTCATAGGTTTATTTCTCATTATAGCTTTAAATGTCATCATCTCATAAAAGATTTCTTGGACAGTGTTATACAACAGTCTTCCAGACCAAGAAGCTTTAAGACTGGGTGCTATTTGCTGAATGGCTCCAAAAATCAATGTAACCAGCTGTAATTCAGAATGCATGGTAGCTACTGATTGAGAGTTATCAAAGGAGAGTATTATAGAGCAGAAGTATGTAGAGGAAGAGGTCAAAGGAAAGTATAAACTGGCATGACGCTTTGCTCTGTAGGATTTGGAAGCAGTGGAAAGGGACATGTCATTGTAGCTATACCTTGAGAGTGTAAGTTAAAAGTACCAGACCTCATTCCCAGAACCCAGTGAGAAAGAAGCCCAGACTGCTGGGAAGGTCTCTGAAGGTCATCACTATGATGAATCCCATGAATACAAGCTCCAGGTACAATAGGCACATGGATGAATCAGGGGAAATACCAGAAAATGACATTTTCTCCTTAAAGAAAGAACTGTTTTAAATAAAGTCTTATTTCTGAGGAAGTGTATTTATTCTAGATGTATAATAATCATGAAAACTTTGAGATGTTTCTTAAGAGAACGTGAATTCCTCATAGGAGAAAATGCTCTCAGTATGAGGCCTGATATAATGATTTTTCAGATTCTTACAGAGATAGGCAAACAAATTTAGGATGGTTTCAAATTATTTTTATAATCTTGTTAAGGGAGAATGTGGTACAGAGAAGTTCTTTGCTAAAATAATTAAAAGCTTCAAGCACTCAATATTCACTGTCTATTAAATAACTACTGTATAACTACACTACTTACTTTAAAAGTATAATTACTGTTCCCCTAAAACTTTCTTTCATTTATATTCTATTATCATTCAAAATTTACAGATGGAAACACTGACCATCTTAAAAGTTAAAAGATGCATAGAGGCTCATTTGGCAAAGTTGAGATTTAAACCAAAGTCTCTATGCCTAGAAATGCCAAACTCTTTATCTATGCTGTGATGCTTTCTTAAAAATCTCTCAGAAACATCCTAGGCAGAGTAAGATATTTTAACATAAATTAGCTAAGAAATAGTTAGCAAAAAATAAGAAAAGCACAAGTAATTTTGGTTGAATGCTTCCCCAAACTCAGTAAACTCTATTATATTAAAGATATAGTGAATTTCCTAATCCATTTTATTCAGTTTTTAGGTTACTGCTGCATTATATTCATAAGGAACAAGATGAGGGGACTGTGGTATGTGCTGAGCTAAGAGTGATATGGAAGACAGACTTGACAATAAGTGTGGCTCCACAGAGGACGTGGAAGGAGGGTGTGATCAAGGACCCACTTTGGGGACTGCCTCTGTTCTGTTTCTCATTCTTTCCAACATTTACTGCTAACATATAAAAGTTCCAACCAATCAAGAATTACAAGGTTTCTTCACAGAATATACCACCACCATGAGAAACCACAGGTATCTTATAAAAATCAACCACCTACAGAATACCTTATTTGAAAACTAGAGGCCTGGTGCACAGATTCGTACACTGGTGGGGTCCCTCTGCCTGGCCTGCACACTCTCACAATCTGGGAACCCTCAGGGGATGTCAGAGGCCTGGTGCATGGATTCGGCCCCTTCCCCGCAGGCCAGGCCAAGGGACCCCACCAGTGTACAAATCCATGCACCAGGCCTCTAATATGCATATAAGATCTTTGGTTAATCTCTGCCCACCTTCTCCCCTCCCCGCTTCCCTCAGAGATTCATCAGTCTGTTCCATGTTTCCATGCCTATGTGTTGAGCATATGCCCCCTAGTGGTCAGTGCATGTCATAGCTACCAGTCGAACTGTCGAACTGTGGAACGGTCGAACAGTCAGACACTTAGCAGGGCTGGCAGCTTCTCCGGGTGGCTGCAGCAGGTGGCTTGTCCGTCTCCTGGGCCACAGCCAGCCGCAGGCGCTGGCGCCTGGACCAAAGGGGGGCGGGGTCTTTT